GCCTTGGAGGGGGGTAAAATCTTCTAAAGCTGAAGTATATACATTGTGTCTAAAATTTGACCATTTAGATAAACCATGTTACTTTATTTTAATGAAAGGCATATTTGAAGAATTATAAATGATTCTGTGAACAAAACAGACTCACATATAGCTACAGTTGCAAGAAAAAGTATGTGAACCCCTTGGGATTACGTGGAGTTTTGCATGAATTGTGCATAAAATGTGCTCTGAACGTCATCTAAGTCACAACAATAGAAGAACACAGTCTGCTGAACATAATACTACACAAACATTAGATGTTGCCATGGTTTAATTGCACATAACATGTAAACATTCACAGTGCAGGGAGGAAAAAGTATGTGAACCTTTGGACTTAATAACTGGTTGACCCTCATTTGGCAGCAATAACCTCAACCAAGCATTTCCTGTAGTTGCAGATCAGACCTGCAAAATGATCTGGAGTAATTTTGGACCACTCCTCTTCACAAAACTGTTTCAGTGTAGCAATATTCTTGGGATGTCTGGTGTGAATCGCTCTCTTAAGGTCATGCCACAGCATTTCAATCGGGTTGAGGTCAGGACTCTGACTGGGCCACTCCAGAAGGCGTATTCTGTGTTGTTGCAGCCATTGTTTTGTTGAATTACTTGTATGCTTTGGGTCATTGTCCTGTTGCATCACCCATCCTACCACCCACTTCATGCAAAACTCCATGTAATCCCAAGGGGTTCACATACTTTTTCTTGCAACTGTACTTAAATGTGGCCACTATTTTACAGCATCTTTTAACACTCTGAGACTGTCCATATTCTCTTCAAGAAATCTTTCTCTGAAAGAACTGCAGAACTGTACAGTTAATGCAATATTTTGATGCAACTCAACCATACAGTGAGAGGATTATGTGTGCTTAACTAAAAAAAGTACCATGAGAGCTAAAATAGATTTGTTGTAGCTTTTAGTATTACTTTGCTTTCTTGCCTTCCTGTCCTCACAGTTGTTCATTCATTTACCTACCAGGTCAAATGGTCTTGAAGATAAATTTAGCATTACCTGCCTGGCAAACAGTCTTGAAGATAAATTTAGCAAAAGCATTCTTTAATTAGCATCTGTCTGGAGTATGTATGAATTGTCTCTGACCCGCAAATTTGTAAAGCGTGTGTGTATGTTTGTATCAGAGCATTATTTTCACAAATGTTTTTTTTTACACACTGACCCACTAGAGCTCTAGTTCTGTCCCCTACTCCCTGCATTCCTTTCTTGCAAAATAAATGGTTATCAAGCAAGGCATGTGATGAACTCTTAGAACAGCTGTGTCATGGCTAACCTGGGATGGGGAGATCTCTGTGTTGATGTCTTTGGAAGATTTAAAGTGATAGTAAAGTTTTAGTTTTTTTTGTTTTTTTTAATAATAAAAATGTTACACTTAACTGCTATGTTTAATGATTTTGCACAGAGTAGCCCGATCCTCTTCTTCTCAGGTCCTCCACCAGCACTCCTGGTTCCCCTGCCCCCACTAAGTGCCCCGATAGCAAGCTGCTTGCTATGGGGGCACTTGTGCATGCTCACTCCTGAGACCTGCTCAGTGAGTCCATAAGACCATAATGGCTATGACTTGTGTTGACACCCCCCAAACAGGATCTTGTGGTCTCTTGCCCCCTAATGGTGCATAACCACAACTCTTCATTGATAGAATATTAGTGCACACACAAGGAAAGCTTCTGTCGGGGGCCATCTCCCTTAGCAGCTCTATCAAAGCATATACTGTACCTGTCTCTACTCAACAGTTGTCTTCATTGTGAAACCTTCTGCTCTGGATGATCCTTCCACCTGAATGAAGACCACTGTGCACAGGAAGAGCAGAACCTGATTGGGAGCAAACATTGCCCAATTATTAGTAGCAGTTCTTAGATCAAATACTTAGTCATCATTTTTATTAAGCAAAATTCTGCTTTATGATGGCACCACAATGCACTTGTCTTTATTGTCTTCAGATTGTCTGGTAGTTTCTTTGACCTCCCTGTTACACTCTGCACTGTATGAAGAACAAAAAGCTAAATATTAAAGTATTTTAATTTTCCACTGAATATTTTGTTCTAGGTTTTCACTGATCATAATTGTTTTTAACAGTTTGTGAAAGACCACAGCAGATTCACATAGGTAAGTAATCAATGGTTAGCAGTGTACTGAGCGACATGTACCTTTTTTTTTTTTTACAGGGTATGTTCTTTTTTTTTTTTACAGGTTCAATAAAGGGATTTGGGAAAGTTGCTCTCCAATTTGTCAATCAGCAAGTCTTTAGAGCCCAACTCAGTCCCTTCAAGTGGGACTGCAAAGGTTAAATGATCATTTAGTCTAGGGCAGGGGTCCTCAAACTACAGCCTGTGGGCCACATGCGCTCGCTGAGGACATTTATCCGGCCCGCCGGGCAGGGGCGTATCTGCTGCGAGGCAAGGGACTAGGGTTTGGCAGGTCGGGAGAGCTCGGCAGGGCTCGGGCGGGAGGCAGGAGGACGGGATCAGCAATTCTAGAACAGGGGAAGGTGGGCTCGGCTTATGAACCCGCACCACTCACCTGGCCTCTCTGCAGCCAGCCGGCCATCTATTCTGATCAGTGCATGCAACCGTCACGGCCAGAGGGCGGAGCCTAGAGCTGACCATGAAGAGGGGGAGCAAGAGAGGAGACTCCATTGCTGCATGTCGGGTATCATGGCCACGGACCCTAGATAAGTGCAATAGATGATCAATCTCCTCCCTCTCTCTTTCCCCCCTCTCTCCTCTCTTCCTTCCCCCTCATCTCTCTCCCCCCTTCCTCTCTCTCTCCTCCCCCTCCTCTCTCCCCCCCCTCTCTCTCCCCCCCTCCTTTCTCTCTCCCCCCTCCTCTCATTCTCCCCCTCCTCTCCCCCCCCCCCTCTCCCCTCTCCCCCCCTCTCTCTCCCCTCCTCTCTTGCCTCCCCCCTTCTCTCACTCCCCCCTTCTCTCTCGCCCCCCTCTCTCTTGCTCCCCCCTCTTCTCTCGCCCCCCTTCTCTCTCTCCCCCCTCTCCCCCCCCCTCTCTCTCTCTCCCCCCTCCCTCTCTCCCCTCCTCTCTCTCTCTCCCCTCCTTATCTCTCCCCCCCTCTCTCTCTCTTAACATTGTACACAGATCTGACCCAACAAGGTGTCCTGCATTTACTGTATGTTTCGCTCCATAAGACACACTTGGGGGGAAATGTCTGTGCGCCGGCCCAGTATTCCTGCCGCAGTTGTATATCCGCAGTCTCTGGTCATCTCATGTACTATGTCCGCATTTGTTCATAGTTTTTTTTTTTAAAAACTATAGTCCAGCAGCCCCTCCAACATTCTGAGGGACAGTGAACTGGCCCCCTGTTTAAAAAGTTTGAGGACCCCTGGTCTAGGGAATGATAAAAGCGGTTTTACTGCCCTATTTACAGTCCCATGCAGGCTTATAGTTCCTGAATCAGTCTTGATTACATCAGGGTCATCTAACCATCAGGGAGCAAGGGAGAAGGAGCTGCAAAGACCAGTCTACCATTGTGGAGGAACCTGCAGAAGTGGAAACTGCTTTTAACTCTTGCAGTGTCAGTCAGTGGCAAGGGCAAGGCAGGACTTTTCCTTTTCCTAGAGTTCAGCTTTAAATAGCTTTGTATAGATAGGAGATCTAAATCTGAGCATGTCCCAGGGTTATATTACTTTTCATACTGTTCTACTAATTAATAATATGATCAGGTCACATGGGAACATACTACAACATGACCAACTGAGCTACTCCACTGTGAACCAGATGGTTCCTCCAGTTATGTACATCCTGTAGGTGGAGTGCAATCAAATTGCTGGTGGGTTGCTTGTTGGGCTTTTAAACGCTACACATGGGTTACAGATGAAATATCCTTTTAAAGCACAAGGTAACTTCTTTTGAGCTCAATATGATGGTTCATGTAATGTTTCCCCTTTCTTATGTGGTAAAAAAAAATTATGTGTTTAACCTCATACAAAATGACAAAATTTGCCTAACGTATCAGCCCCACAAAAAGTGGTATTTTAGCTGCTTAGTCTCATGGGCTGAGTCATCCTCTTGTTTCTGATACTACAACAGAAAGTTTCTCCCTGCTGTAATTCCCCTCTGCTTCTGTTGACCTGTAAGTTTTGAGTGTGCCTGCCCTTTGCATGCTCCAATAAATTTTCCATCATATACTTTTCTATTATATTAAAAATGAGAAACATAATGGCCACAGCAGGCATACAGTGACTCAAGAGAGTTGATATCAACAGAGTTGCTGAAATACGCTATGTTGCCAAAAGTGGGACGCCTGCCTTTACAAGCACATGAACTTTAATGGCATCCCCGTCTTAGTCAGTATTGAGTTGGCCCACCCTTTACAGCTATAATAGCTTCAACTCTTCTGGGAATTGTCCACAAGGTTTAGAAGTGTGTCTATGGGAATGATTGACCATTCCTCCAGAAGTGCATTTGTGAGGTCAGGAATTGATGTCGGACGAGAAGGCCTGGATTGCAGTCTCTGCTCTAATTCATCCCAAAGGTGTTCTGTTAAGTTTAGGTCAGGATTCTGTGCAGGCCAGTAAAATTCCTCCACCCCAAATTTGCTCATTTATGTCTTTATGATCCTTGCTTTGTGCAGTGGTGCGCATTTATGTTGGAACAGGAAGGGGCAATCCCCAAACTGTTCCTACAAAGTTGGGAGCATGAAATTGTCCAAAACGTCTTGGTATGCTGACGCCTTAACAGTTCCCTTTACTGGAACTAAGGGGCAAAGCCCAACCCCTGAAAACAATTCCACACCATAATCCCCCCTCCACCAAACCTTACACTTGGCAAGTACCATTCTCCTGGCAACCACCAAACCCAGACACATCCATCGGATTACCAGACAGAGAAGTGTGATTCATCACTCAGGAGAACACGTCTTCACTGCTCTAGAGTCCAATGGTTGTGTGCTTTACACCACTGTATCCAACAATTTGCACTGCACTTGGTGATGTAAGGCTTGGATGCAGCTGCTCGGCCATGGAAACCCATTCCATGAAGCTCTCTACATACTGTTGTTGAAGGCGACATGAAGTTTGGAGGTCTTTAGCTATTGACTCTGCAGACAGTTGGCAACGTCTGCACACTGTGTGCATACTGACCCCGCTTTGTCATTTTAAGTGGCCTACCACTTTGTGGCTGAGTTGCTGTTGTTCCCAGTTGCTTCCACTTTGTTATAATACCACTAACAGTTGACCATGTAATATTTAGTAGCAAGGAAATTTCAGGGATGGACTTATTGCACAGGTGGCAACCCATCACACCACACTTGAATTCATTCTTCACAAATGTTTGTAGAAGCAGTCTGCATGCCTAGGTGCTTGATTTTATACACCTGTGGCCATGGAGGTAATTAGAACACCTGAATCCAATGATTCGGAGGGGTATCCCAATACTTTTGGCAATATAGTGTATATAGGAAATTGTGAGGTGAATTACCTCTCCAGTATCTACTGAAACACTGAAATCATAATAAGAGAAGACTGGTCACTGTTAAGCTGGATCTGAGTTGATTCTTGTAATTCTAAGGCCTCATTTACACTGCCACTGCAAAACCTGCTTTTTCATTTAGAGGATATTTCTGAGGGCTCGTTTACAGTTGTTTTCATGTGCCGCATTCACACCTCAATGCTGGAGTAATGTGCAGTGTGATACAGTGTGGAAATACTTCCTTTTTCAACAATGCACTGGATGGGATGGCATGTCACTACAACCTTAAGCAGCTATGTTGTCTTCTGTCTGGAATTTAAAAAAAAACGTGTAGCATTTATTGACTAGAATGCCTACTCAGTGTTCTCACAAACTGTTATATAAGTTTTCTACCTATTAAAAATTGATTTGTTTTTGTATTTCATTCATCAATATGGAAATTCCCCACTATAGTCATTTTAATGAACATCTGCTTGGTTAATGGTAAAAATAAAACAAAACAAAAAAAAAACACACATACATAAGTCTCAGTTCTTCGAATTTAGAACAAAACAGAAAAAATAACCTTCTGTTATCGATGGACATTAACAAGAGTCATGTTACAAAGCAGACAGTCACTTGAACATTGGTTAATTCAGTGTATGCCAAGGTGTTCAGCCCAGCATAAAAATGAGTCTACTACATTGTAAAATATAATCCTTGAAAAAACCACAATAATTGCAACTAGCTACAGTAATGTCATTCATTCACAATTTGTTTGACATTTTTACGTCACATACACTGGTGGCTTCAATTCACCTGAATGGTTTTCCCCCTGCAGGATAAAAAGGCAACACTTCATCATGTGTGTGTTGACCATAATGGCATTGAAGTGTAACAAACAAGACAGTGACTTTATGAACGAGTCCAGAACTCATAAAGTATAAACATTTCTGGAAACTATTTTTTCTTAATAACTATTCAGTAGTTGCCTCTCATTTCTAAATATACACTGCTCAAAAAAATTAAAGGAATACATTTTAATCAGAGTATAGCATCAATTCAAATAAACTCCTGGGATATTGATCTGGTCAGTTAAGTAGCAGAGGGGGTTGTTAATCAGTTTCAGCTGCTTTGGTGTTAATGAAATTAACAACAGGTGCACTAGATGGGCAACAATGAGATGACCCCCAAAACAGGAATGGTTTTACAGGTGCAGTCCAACTCCTCTAGGATGGCACATCAATACTTACCATTACCAGAAGGTTTGCTGTGTTTGCCAGCACAGTCTCAAGAGCATGGAGGATAATCCAGGAGACAGACAGTTACTGTAGGAGAGCTGGACAGGGCTGTAGAAGGTCCTTAACCCATGAGCAGGACTGGTATCTTATTTGTGCAAGGAGGAACAGGCTGAGCACTGCCAGAGCCCTGCAAAATGACCTCCAGCAGGCCACTGATGTAAATGTCTCTGATCAAACAATCAGAGACAGACAGAGGTGTGGCCTGAGGGTCCGACGTCCTCTAGTGGGTCCTGTGCTCACTACCTGGCACCATAGAGCTCAGTTAGCATTTTCCATTGAACACCAGAGTTGGCAGGTCCACCACTGGCACCCTGTGCTTTTCATAGATGAGAGCAGGTTCACCCTGAGCACATGTGGCAGATGTGAAAGGGTCTGGAGAAGCCGTGGAGAACATTATTCTGCCTGTAACATCATTCAGTATGATCATTTTGGCGACGAGTCAGTGATGGTCTGGGTAGGAATATCCATGGAGGGATGCACAGACCTCTACAGGCTAGGCAATGGCACCCTGACTGCCATTAGGTATCGGGATGAAATCCTTGGACCCATTGTCAGACTCTACACTGGTGCAGTAGGTCCTGGGTTCCTCCTGGTGCACAACAATACTCAGCCTCATGTGGCAAGAGTATGTAGGCAGTACCTGGAGGAGGAAGGAATTGATACCATTGAGTGGCCCCCATGCTTGCCTGACCTACAGAACACCTCTCGGATATCATGTTTCGGTCTTTCCGATACTGCCAGGTTGCACGTCAGACTGTCCAGGAGCTCAGTGATGCTTTGGTCCAGATCTGGGAGGAAATACCCCAGGACACCATCTGTTGTCTTATTAAGAGCATGCCCCAACGTTGTCAGGCATGCATACAAGCATGTGGGGGCCATACAAACTACTGAGTACCATTTTGAGTTGCTACAATGAAATTTCAGCAAAATGGACTAGCCTGCTGCATAATTTTTTTCACTTTGATTTTTTTGGTGTCTTTGAATTCAGCCCTCTGTAGGTTGATCATTTTCATTTCCATCAAATGATGGGGCATCGTTACGTTCCTAACACATTACCCAGTCCATATCAGTATAGATATCCAGCATGATATTTTTCCCCATTGAGATCTGATGTGTTTTCAAAGTGTTCCTTTAATTTTTTTGAGCAGTGTTTATAGCAGCTCTTACTGCAATGCTAGCCTCCTCTCCAGCATGGTTCTCTTTACACTCACTCTCTCAGCAACCAGATGTTGTATAATTCAACCAACTTTTAACCCTGTGGGGGAGCACAGTGCCCTGCACACAAAATTTAATGATGCAGAATCACCACATCACCAAGGTTTTCTACATTATGAACCTGTCATTGTCAGAGAGGAAGAGAAGAACCCTGTGTGTCATGTGACTGGTTAGAAGACCTCTGAAAAAGGTAAGTATAAAACAAAGCAAAAGTTGGATGTTGGAGGACATCCAGGGAAAGAAGAGAATGTGTATGATGGGAGGATTGAAATGAGCTTTAATTTTGATGTTGAAGTGTGTTTGCATTCTCAATAAACCCAGTGTGCGGTAAAAAATTGCTTCGCTTTAAATAGTGCCCCAGCGGGAGTTTAAAGCCAAAAACAGCTTTAGATGCATTACTCAATTCCTTTCTACCACCGTCCCCCACAACAATTCATTACTGCAATTGGATGTCCTCAGTTTTCTGGGATGAATGATCTTTAGGCCAGCCATTGATGATTAATTTTCTTTTGATAAGCCTGTGGACTAATCAAAAAATAAATGAATGGATTAACTCCAGAAAGAAAGGTGGATGGAGAATACATTGATCAGTGCTACAGCTGACTGATCAGTGCTGCTGACTGCATGCACTAATCAAATACAACATTTTCCAACATTCCTATTTGAGAGAAGACAGTTATTAGATAAACTTCTTTTGAGTGAGAATGGTAATAGATGGATTAAAATTTGGCAGGTCTTTGCTGATAACCTATGGCCAGCCATAGCGTCAATCAACCCAGAAGACTGAGGACATCCTGTGAATTTAGAACTTAATGGACCTGCCCCTAAAGGAGAGTCACCAGTGCACATTGCACTCACAGTATAATCATGCAGTGGTGCTGACATAATCACATCAGTGCCTCCCTCTGCACCTTCAATTCACCTTGGATCTGCGATTATTTATGGATTGGGTTTAAAGCCCCAGATTTTCTGTGTCTATAGGCTCTTTGGATGTAAATCTAGTCCTGCTGGGTCATAAAGGAGTATGTCACCTAATTGGCTCTATGGTTCCCTTCTAATTTTATGTATAGTACAACCGGCAAACAGACAAGCTTTTGTGTGGTCTGTACATACTTGCATATCTGATCGTCTCTTCCCACTGAAATATTGGTTGTTAGTTTAGTGTTAATGTTGGTAAAAGTTCTTTATACCATAACTATTGCAATATTTAGTCTTTACTGGCACATGGCACAAATTGTTTCTTCTCTATTTCCCCCAATTCTCTATAGGCCCCCAAAATAGTTTGAAGGATTGTAAACTGGCCACTTGTTTAAAACTGATTGGAGAACACTGCATTAGTTTCTACTTTTGGATTATTTGCATAGTACACTTTTTTGATTTTCCTATAAGCATGATAAAGAAGTACTGCATAATAAGACCATTATACTTTTCCAAGTATATTATTAGGAGCGATTATTGCATGTGCTTTTATTTCCATGTCTAAAATTAGAGTAACTTTATGGGTTATTATTTTGCGTCTGAAGCTTTGAAGGCTTTGTTTGTAAATAATAAAAACATAGACTTTATTGGAACTTCAAAGGAATTCACACCAGCATACTGTCCTCTTTTACCATAAAACAGGTATACAGTCACACTAGAAACAAACTGACAGTGCAGTAAGACTTTACTTAAAGTCATAATAAAACACCAATGGATATTTAGAGTAGAAGTCTATAAAAGGTGTGAATTGTGTTTAAAAAATTGTTTTAGATATTTTAGGTTCTGTGATCAAGTGTGGTAAGTGAACCTTGTTTTATTCAGAATCCTTTTTGGACAAATGACACCTATTTTAAAATCACATGGCTCATCACAAGTAGAACAAGAAGAACACAAGACCCATTCCATTTCTTCTATTTATTTTGACAATGCCTATGTCTGCCAGGTGAAAGTCTTAGTGAGAAAATTGAATATGAAAGACAGGGACAACTTTTTATTCCAATCTATGAAATATGCCTACCTAAATCATTTGTATTAACTTTTTATAGTAAGGGAAACTATTTTAAAATTTACATATTTCCAGCCCTTGACATTTAAAAGATCTCAAGTAAGAGAATATGGCATATACAGGTGAAACTTGAAAAATTAGAATATAGTGCAAAAGTTCATTTATTTCAGTAATGCAACTTAAAAGGTGAAACTAATATATGAGATAGACTCATTACATGCAAAGCAAGATAGTTCAAGCCGTGATTTGTCATAATTGTGATGATTATGGCTTACAGCTCATGAAAACCCCTAATCCACAATCTCAGAAAATTAGAATATTACATACAATCAATAAAACAAGGTACTCAGTACTTGGTTTGGGCCCCTTTTGCAGCAATTACTGCCTCAATGCGGCGTGGCA